AAATGAAAAATCCCAATATTTCTGTAAAAATACTTCCATAAAGCAATATTACCTAATATACATATTAAATAATTTATTTTTAATAATTAATTTTTAAAAAATAAGGAAAATAAATATTTAAAATATTCCCTAATAATTTTTTAATTAATTATTGCTAAATTTGGTGAATTAAGAAAATTAACTGTTTTAAAAAATAAATTATTTAAGAAAACACTCCTTTTTTTATTATTTATTAATTCTATTTTAAGAAATTTGTTTTTTTTCTCAGTAAAAATTGCAAAAATTAAATAATTTAATTTAATAAAAAAATAAAAATTTAAATTAAATTTATATATTAAAATTATTTTAAATAAATATATTAATTAATTTGATCATAAATAATTCCAAAAAAGGTTTGGTTTATAATGAACCGAAATAAAAAATGTTTTAATTATATTTAAAAAATATTTATTTTTATTTTACTAGTTCATGAATTGTTTAAATATTTAAAAAAATAGTATTTTCAATTAGATGGGGAATTTCAGGCGATCTTCGGTTTAGAAATTTGTTTAATAAAAAGCCTAAAATTAATTTTTTAAGTAAGATAAAAATAATATTTGGATATTAAAATTGAAAATTGGAAGAAAAAAAGATGAAAAAATATTTAGATTTTAAACAATTAATTTTCTAAAATTAAAAAAGACACACAAAAAGAATACAAAATATTTGCTGTGATTTTTAATCAGACATTGTTCTCCAAAAAAGGAAGTAAAGAATAAATGAATATATTTTTTATATATTTTTTATCTCCCAAGAGATAAATTTTTTTCAAAAAAATTTTTTTTCAATTATTTTTGAAAAAGATTAATTTGAAAAAAAACGTCATTAAAAAATAAAAAATAATAAAATATTTTTTTTCTATTAGTAACTCTGATAACAAAGAAAATTCCAAGAATGGAAACAATTACTAAAAAAAGGGGGAAAGAGTGTTAATTTAAAAATTAGTGAAGCGTTAATTAAGAATATTTAAATTAATTATATTAAATGTGTATTTAGTTGGTAATCCTTTTGTTTTTAATAAAAAGTGGTCAAAAAATTAAGAAAAAATTAAAAATTATGAGAATATTCTGTTTGAATTTAATTATTGAAATTATTTTTATTTGAGAACAATTGTGATAGTTTTAAAGAAATAAAAGCGTATTGGAAGTGCATATGTACCAGAGTTGACGCCCGAAACCCGAAACCCGGCATTTTTTTAAGCCTGAAACCCGGCACCCGAAAAGAAAACGCTCCAACCCGATACCTGTACCCAAAGATTTTTTGTACCCGTGGCAACACTAATATGTACTAAATTTAAAAAAAACTTGAATCAATTTTTATTAAAACAACAAAATTTGGGAAGATAAATTTGAGATAAAGCAGAAAAACAAAAAAATAATTAAATATAAAATTTTAAAGATAAGAATTTTAAAAAAATTTAAATAAATCGGAACTAGGAGAGGGAGTAAAATAGATGTAAATTGAAGGTTTTTCATTAGATTGTCGTCCCAAGAGGTTTTGATTGATGTGCGTGTATATCTAGCTATTTCTAAATTAAAAGAACAATGGCAAGCACAAATAAAGATTTCTAATAAAAAAAGAAGTCTAGAAAGAATATATAAGAGTAAATTTTAAAATAATTTAAATAAAGCTTTGTTTTTTAAATGTTGATGTAACCCCCCCCCCCCCCTCCAGTCTGTTTTTCAAAATTCTAAGCTATAATTTACAAAAGACAAATAAATTAAAAAGAAACAAAATAAGTTTTTTAATTATTATAAATTTGAAATAAGTCATTCGGGGATAAATGAGAGATTATTGTATGAATATGATTAAAGCGTATTAAGTATTATTAAGCGTATTAAAGCGTATATTCCTCTAAAATAATAACCAATAACTAATAATTAATAATATTTATTTTATTTTTATTTAAAAGGCAATACATAGTAGAATAAACAGAAAATTTTGAATTAAAATTTTGGTGTTTCTTCCAATTGGAATATTTTTGTTTTTAAATTAAGCACAAATAAACATATTTATTTATTTAATAAAAAAGTAAATGAATTTTAAAAAAATATTTGTAATTCACTAATATTCTTTCATTTAGTCCTTTTATTTTTTAAATTACCGGAAATGTAACAAAGATAACAAAAAGCACATGTTGTACTTTATTAGCATAATCTACCAGAAAAAAGTCCCTCTTGAGAGATGAAAAATGAAAATGTGAGTAAATATGTACTTAAATGACGTTAAAAAATAACAATTAATTTTAAAAAGTTAATATTTTATATTTTAATTAAATATTTAATTTTAAATGAAACAAAAAATTTAAGAATGACTGGAAACAATAATATTGGAAAATTCGGATAAATAAATGACGTTAAAAATAATCTAAAAAATTAATAGATATACCTTTTAGATACTTTCCTGAGGCCTTATAATGGAGGAGAGGGGGGGGTATATTGAATTAGAAGTACCGCTTAGGTAGCTTCCCCCATCCAGACAACGCTTATACGATACTTAAACATTTCTATTGCACTAATCAAATAAATTACTAAATTATTAGAAGATTATTATTGGTGTGATTATTTTTAGTGAGATTATTAATTAATAACCTTTAACATAACTTTTATACAGTCGGTCAAAATTTTTGAAACCGAAGAGATTTGGAGGCTTTAGTGAAGTTAAAGTGGAGGGATATTAGTATATAGTGGGATTTTATCATGGGGCCTCGTGATTAATCCACCGATATCCTTCTAAATCCATTATATCTGCCTTAATCATTTGATATCATTGCCCTCCAATTGAAGGGGTTTGAATAAATATCAGGTGATATATTTAGGATGGTTAGAGGTCTTTCTCCACAATTTATCTTAATCTTATCCAACGAATACTTGAATTTCTCTCAAATCACTTTATCCCTCCCTAGTCCCTAATATTAAGGATAATTCATTAATCTCTTAATACCTCCCCACCCTCCTAAATTTATTCCTTGATATCCCTCTCAATACCCAGATATCCATCCTAATCTCCAAATTCCCTGATATCGCTTTTAATCACCTAAATCCCATAATATCCCTTTAATCTCTTGAAATTTGCCTCTCTCGATATCACCCAAAATCGAATTTTGCAGGATAACTTGCCTCCTTACAATTTAGTTCACCAATTTGTTGACATTTTATTTTGTGGCATTTTGTCCCTATTTCCGACAGTTCCGATTTCCGACACTTCGTCATTTCCGACCGACATCTGCTTACAACCAAGTTTTCACACTTCATTTTATCACAAGAAATTTAATTTTTGCAAATAAAGAATTTATCCAAAGAGGAATCATTTAATGCTTAAAATTTTAAATAATTTTATTTTTAACAAAATTGGAGGAAATAATTTTGTGTGGAAACGTTTATATTTGTATGTTTTTTTTAATTTTTAATTAATTATTTTTTAAAGGACTAAACAAAATGTTTCTGGAGGTAAACGAAATTTTGAGGTTATTTTTAATTAAAAAATAATTTTTAGAATTAAAAATCTTTTTTAGTTAAAATTAGAAGAACTTAAAAATTGTGTTAATTCAATTCCTTTGGCAGAAGGCTTTGATTTAAGTTTGGTTTTAAAAAATTTTTTTATAATTAATTTTTATTTTCTAACAGATAATTTACAAAATAATGAATTGATTACTAAACAATTTAATTTGAATAGAATTTCACGTAAATATTTTTAATTTTGACAAATTTGGGTTATTTATTCTAATTGGCCTGAGTTTATAGACCGACTAAAGAGAATTAATTGGGGGAGGGGGGGGGGTTCGAATTTTAATTTTTAATTAATTTTCTTCTATTTTCTCTGTTTTTTGGATTATTTTCTGAAGAGATATTTACCAAACTTCAATTCTATTTTTCTATTTCCGGAATAATTTTTAATAAAAATCGGCAAAACCACATTCATGGGATCCCGTAACGTGATTTTTTTCAAAATTTTTTACGGGACAAGATCCCGCGGGATTAATCCCGTAAATCTCGTAATTCCGACAATCCCCTTCGTCGTAAAACTACGGGATTTCGAGAGAGGATCCTGTCCCGTGCCGATCTCTAATTTAAATTTAAAAACTAGAGACCGGCAAAATTGCACTTCCGGGATCCCGAGTCGGGATTTTTTTTCTTAACCGATGCCGGGACGGGATCCCGAGGGAGTAATCCCGAAAAAATCCCGAATTTCAAAAATCCCGAAAAAAATTATCCGGGATCCCGTCCGGGATTCGGGATTTTTTTCAAAATAAAAAATTTGAACTTTTTATGAATAAAGTGCATAAAATACTGCAATTTATACTAAGTAAATAAGATTAAATTTGTAAAAATATCAATAATTTTTAATAATTAGATTGTCCTCCTCCTTTAATTCCCTCTATAATAGATTTAGAGGGATACTATCGGTGGATTAATCAACAGGTCCCTTGATAAAATCCCACTATATACTAATATCCCTCCCCTTTATCTCCAGTAAAGACTCCAATTTTCTCCCGTTTTTACCGCCGCAGGTGAGGAATTTTGGAAGATCCTTAAGCCAGATTTCTTCCTTTTTCAGCGCCGCAGGCGAAAATTTTGAAAATTATAAAAATCCCGAAAATTATAAAAAAATGTCCGGGATCCCGAGTCGGGATTTTATTTTTTAACCGATGCCGGGACGGGATCCCGAGGGAGTAATCCCGAAAAAATCCCGGATCCCGAATGATCCCGAAAATCAAAAAAATCCGGGATTTCGGGATCGGGATCCCGGAAAATCCCGTCGGGATCCCGTCCCGCGCCGGTCTCTATTAAAAACTTTTAATTTTCAGCAGAAACAGATTCTGTCGCTATTTGTTTTCAAAATATCGACAAAAATAATCAAAAACAAGACAAAAATGAAATAAAAGAATTTTATATTTTCTCTGAAGGAGTTGTTACTTTTTGGAATATTGAGTTGGGTTTCTTTTTAATTTTTTAAATTAATTTTTATTTTTTTTTTGGTCGTGACAAACAAGAGAATATCATTAAAAATCTTCAAATACACCAATTAAAACCATTAAATGAGAAAATGTCTCGGGCTGAAGAGGAAATTATGAAAATTGAATTTACAAAGTAAAAAAATTTTTTTTAATCTTACAAGGAACCATATCGAATGTTAACAAAAATTTCGTAATTTTTTTATACTATCGTGTAGAGCAGGGTCGATTTCCCATTGCCGGTTTTTTCTTTTTCGCCCCTCCCCAAATCAGAAAATAGCAATGGGAAATCGACCTTGCTCTTCACGATGATATAAAATAATTACGAAATTTTTGGTGACAGTTCGATATGGTTCCTTGTAAGAAGATTTTTAAATAATTTTTGAGAAAAAAGTTTCGAATGTTCTTTTAAAATTTTTAGAAATAATTCCAATGCCAGCGACGACACAATTTATTTAAACAATGATTTCAATATTAATTGTAGTTTAATTGATGGAATTTATATTTCTTATAATAATTTGGAACGTTTTGCATTTTCTCATGCTTTAGCTGCTTCTGTAGGGAATTTATTTTTTTAATTTAAAAAAAAGAATCATTTACCAAGGGCGTAGCCATTTCAGGGGGAGCTATGGCCCCAGAAGCCCTCTGGCTACGCCTTTCTCATTTACCCCAATTTTGAATAACTTGTGAGCATGGGGATGTCCAGGGTTGGATTTCAAAGGTGTATAATGAGGGGAGGGGTGCTCTAAACCTTTGGCCGTTTGGTATTCCAAAAGCAAAAATGGATGAAAATTAAATTACATTAAATTACAAAAAGCCCTTTTTTGTGTAAATTTAATTTATTTTCCTCTAAAAAATTTTTCTAATTTAATTTTAAAGGTTAGAATGGGTATTTGGGAACGAGAACTAGACAGGCTTAATGATGAATTGGAACAATGTATTGACCAACTCAAAGAAGGCAAATTAATTTGGAAAGCATCCAAAGCAAGACAAACTATTGGAAAAATTGCTAGTATTAGGTTAATTTTAAGAATTAAAAAAAAAATTTTTAATTTATTTTTTATAGACATTCTGTTAATTCTTCTGAATTGCTTAATAAAGATATTTATTGGTATTTTTTTAATTAAAATTTTTTTTAATAAAATTGACAAAAATGGGTGGGAAATTGGAGAGTTATTAAGTATTAGGGATCTAGCCGACATAAAAATTCAATTCCCGATTTTCGGGAATCGGGTCGCCTAGATCCCTGTTAAGTATATTCTATTTCCACAAAAATTAGTTTTAAAATTTTTGGAAAAAATTCATTCAACACAAAAAAGTCCCTCTGTTTTCATTTATTTTTTATCGAATTGAAGTCTGACATTAACGTTCCTTGTCTTTGATCCTCATAATTAAAATAATTTTAAAATTTCAACTTTTTTAAAGAATTTCTTTTTTAAAGGGATTTACTTGATATAGAGCGTGTATACGAATCTCTTGCAAAACAACTTAAACTTGCAAGTCGTCAACGAGATTTAAACAAAAGAATAGATTATTGTGAATATTTTGTAAAAACAATACATGAAATGCTCGACCAAAAACATGTAAAAAATTAATTTTAAACGTGTGTTTCCTCTTCAAGAGGAAAATTTAATTTTTGGGAAATATTAGAATATTTTAAGGAAAATTTTTTTAATTATTTAATTTTTATATTTCTTTTTTCAGTCACATCGATTGGAATGGATTATCATTATTTTAATTTTTGTTGAAATTTTAATTAATTTACCAAAAATAATGGGAATATTTTCTTTCGAATCAAAAAAGGAAGAAAAGTGACGATATTGTTGATTTTAAAATACATAAAATTTATTTAAACAATTACAAAATTAAACAATTCATATATAAATTATTTGTTTAAATAATGAATAGGGCTGCCGGTCCGGTCCGAAAGATCGAGTCGGGCATAGAATTTTGACCCGAAAAAGACTCGGTCGAGTCGGCTCAATAAATGCCCGAAAAAATGACTCGAACGTCGGCCCGACTCGAAAACGGCAACCCTAATAATGAGTATTTTATAAATTTATCGGAGGTATTTAAATATATATTTATATAAATATACTATTTATCACAAATTTTTGTAAAAAAAATTTTTTTGAAAACAACGCCGCTAAATATTTTTTGTTTTAAAATGTATAAGGATGAAATTGATGTAGAAATTCATCAATCTCAAATGTTTTGACAACATTTACTAAAGAAAAATTGTTGCAAATTTCCAAAGATAATTTCTAAAAAAATAAAAATTTAATTTAAAAATTCACTGTGGTGCAAAAGTTTATGCACACTTGATAAAAATTTTTTAATACAGTATAACTTTGGAAGTCAAAGTAAGATGGGAAGTCTTAAAAAAATTGTCAAATTATCATTATTTTTTTATAAAAATTTGGATTTATTAGAAAGAGCATACTTTAATCTATCAAGCAAAAAAAGAAATAGACTTCTAATTTAAAGAGTTCCAAAGTTTAAATATTAAAAAAATTTTTATCAAGTGCATAAATTTTGCACCGCATTGTAATGTCAAAAAAAAAATAATTTTTTAATTAAATTTAAATTTTACCTGATAAAAATGAAAGTAATTAATAATTGTGCAATATCTAATACTTAAATCCTCTGATTTTGTACTATTATTTTTACATAAAATATAAAGTTCTTCAAATATTTGTTTTCTTATTTTTAAAATACTTGAACGTTCTTCATCATTTAAATTTTCAATTTCTTTAAAAAATAAAAATTATTTTTAAAAAAATATTTGTAAATATTTACTATCATTCCAAAAAAGCAATCCAAGAAGACCAGCAAATTCTAATTCTGTTAGACAAAGTTTTGACATTGAATTTTTAATTATAATTGAATATCGAAATGTTGGAGCAAATATTTGTGCAATACTTTCTGGGTCAGTTAAGCATTGCTCTACATTGAAGAAGCTAAAAATATTTTTAGTTTAATCGTTAAAATATCCGTTTTTTGTTGTATTTTTCCTTATCCAAAAAGGAGGCTTCTCTTTACCTATCAATCATAATGATTAAAAAAAGCCAAAATAAAAGGAGAATGCATTAGCCAAGGCCAACTGGCCATAAGTTTATTAATCTTGTATCTTCAGGATTAGGAAAACATTTTGACGAAATAAACGAAGAATTATTGTACCCATCCCAGAAATATTTTCCCGTTCACTTATTTCGTTTTGATTGACAAAAAATCTCTGCTTTTGTAAAGGAAATACTTTACATTTTAAAGGGAAAACTGTCCTTATAACAAAAAATTGGGGTCAATAAATATACTATTTATCTAAAAATTATTTACTGTTGAAGCTGTCGAACATCAAAAAATGTTTTTCCTGGGGTAGATATTAATCTTGTATCTTCAGGATTAGGAAAACATTTTGACGAAATAAATGATCTATAAGCCAAAACAAATGGAAAGAAAAAATTTCTTAACATTGTCCATCTTGTATCAGAATTAAAATTATTTGAATTTAATAATCGAAAGAAATGCTCTTCAATCTATTTGAATAAAATTATTTTTAAAGTTTAAATATATTTATTACCATTTCTGAAACAGAAAATGATTCTGCTTTAATTGAATCTACATTTTCTGTATAATTTCCTTCATTCATCATCTTAAAATTAAATATTCTAATTTTATGGTACTTATCGGCTATACGTCCACAAACCGAGTGTTAGCGAATTTCATCTGTTTTAACTTTTATGCTTGATCCAATTCAAAAAAATCTTATACATATATTCGAAAGTCCTCGATAAGAGGAATCTTTTTTCCAGCTTATGTCTGATCACTAGTTAAAAAGCTATAACCCGATAAAAGTAAAAAACGCCTAATTAGACATTGTGGTATAACTTTTAAATGAGTGATCAGACTTGATCTATACTATAGAAAAATGTACCGCTTATCGAGTGCTTTCGAATGATATAAGATTTATTTGAATTGGATCAATCTCAAAAAAGTTATAGCCAATCAATGTCTGGTGGCACTCAGTTGTGGGCGTATAACATATAAGCTCCGATTTTATTTAATTTTAAAAACAAACAATTTCTTTTTCGCCCTCATTTTCATCTTTTTTGTAAGAATAATTTTTGTTTTCTAATTTTAAATATCCTTTAAGCATTTCATTAAGGGAAGGATAATAATTAGTAGATTTGTCTAAAGAATAATTATCAGAAGAGGAGCAACAAGTATTTAATATATTAATGTAGGAAGTAGAAGTTGGGTTATTATATAACCATGCTTCTGATATTTGTGGTGTAATCATGGAAAGAATATTTGAAGAAGGGGAGTGCTAAAAAAAATAATAATTGAAGGATATCATCGTTTCCCTTACATTTGTATGTCCATTAGCACTCCCAGGATTTAACGGAGAAGAAAAAACAGAAGAAGTAGCAGAAACATTTCCGCTGTCTAAAGTTGTAGTTGTTATTATATCTGTTGGTGATGATTGTTGTTGTTGTTGTTTTTGTATTGGTGAAAAAGCTGAGGGTAATGCTTGTAATAATGTATCGGTAAAAGAATTTTTGTTAGAATTATCATTATTTAATTTGCCATTTAAAAGTGTATATGAACGGCCATTTTCTTCTAAATGTAAAAAATTATTTGTTGAACAAGATTTTTCTTCAATTAATTTATTATTTAATTGTAATTGCATTGCATTCATTAAATTAATTGGTGTTAATAAAGAAGAATTTGTTGTGAAATTATTATTAATTAAATTATTATTTTCTTCATTTTTAATTTGTTGTTTTTTAATTATTTTGTTGGTGTTGTTATTCTTCCCTTTTTCTGTTGGTATTTTTCTTGGCCCCAATTGATCTCTGTGTTTTTGTACGGCTAAATAAAAAAGAATAGTTTTTATAAAAATTTAGAAAATATGTAACCATTTGGGTCCATTCCTAATGAAATACATCGAGCAAATCGACAAGCACGACAAGAACAACGGACCTCTGCAATAAATAAAGTTATATTAATTTAAGCAATATAATAGGTATAATTTTCTAATATATCAAAATACTTTTGAAAATTTTTAAATCTAATTTGAGAAACTGCAGATATACCCGCGGGCGGATACGACATGAAAATGAGAAGGATATACTAAACGGAAATGGATGGATATAGACTCTGTGGATACTAAAGAATCCACTATGACTAAAACTAGAATAAAAAAATTGCTGGTCAACAAGAAATATTTAATTAGAATATTTGAAGATATTCTATAATAGAATACTATTTTTAAATTTAAAAATAAATTTATGTTATTTATTTATTTATTCATTTCCAATCACCTCTAAAATTAATTTGACAATTTCCACTATAACGGCATTGATAAACTCGCTTAGCAATTGTTGAACGTCTAAAAAATGCAGCACAAGCTCTACAAACCATAACACCAAAATGTAATCCTTGTGCTTGATCAGAACAAACAGCACAACGAGTATCTTCCTCCCCTTCGTTATATAATTGTTTTTCTTGAGTCTCTGTCATTGAAATATTTTTTGTTTGAAATTTTCTGAAAATTAATTTTTTATTAAAATATTTGTATGTATAGAAGATATGTACATATTTAAATTATTTAAAAAATAAAAAAAATATTTTTTGAAGAAAATATGTGGGCGGAAAAATAAAATAATATTAAAAATATAAGGTGTTTTTATTAATATTTCTAAAAGTTTAGTTTTTTATTCTTGTTTCAAAACTTTATAAATTAAAAATTAATATTTAAAAATAAAATTAATATGTATTTAAATTTTATTTTTATAAAAAGAGCAAAGGTTTTGACGATATGAATATTTATTATTTAAATTTACTTAACTGTTTTTATTTATGAGAGGCATATTTGAGGGCCCGAAATTTTGGGGATAATTTTTATTAAATTAAGCAAAAATTAGATGTTAATAGAATTTACAAAGGATTTAATTAATTATCCACAAAATGAAACAGAATTATTATAAAAAAATATAAAAACAATTAAAACAGAATTAAAGAAAAAAGCAGTTATAGAGCCTAAAAACTAAGAAATTTGACCAGAAAAATTTCTTAGTTTTTTTTATATTAATTCAGAAGATGTTTCGATATATTTCGATATTCTCAAAAATTGAGTAGATGTCATTTTATTATTATTTTATATAACAAATCAGATATTAAAAAATGGATAGTAAAAAACAATAAATTATTTTCCAAAATCTATACTTTTTAATTTTTCTTTCTATGATAAAAAAAGTGAAACATTAAAATAAATATAACAGTTAAATACCTAAATAAAATATGTATACATATAAAATATTAAGAAAACAAAAATGTGAAAAAAAAATAAAAAAATATGAAAAACATGAAAGGCCTTTTTCATAACCGATTAATTAATTTGAAGAGAAATTAATTAGAAGTTATAAGCTAATTTTTAAATTATTTAAAATATAAAAATTAATTGAATAAAATTTAAAAAATATTTTTTGAAGAATATTTTATTGATTTAATTTCTAGTTAAATCACATGCCTAATACTCTAGCTGTTTGTCCTCTGTCTAAAAAAACAAAATTTTAGTTAATTAGAAGGAGAAAGGAGGACTGTAAATTAATTTAAACTAACAATATTTTATAGATAGAAGATAATGTCCCCCTTTTAATATTAATTTATCAAAATCAAATATTTATTTTAACCACAATAATTATAGTTTATTTAAACTACATTTTATAAGGAATAAAAGATAAGAAATGTAGACTTAAAAATATATTTTTGTAGTTTGTTAAGATTTAAATATTTTTAGCTCAGAAAATTTTTGAGAATTAATTTACGTAATAAATATTTAAATTTTGTATGTACTTCGGAGACAGTAACAATAAAATAAAGAAAAAGTGAGGAAAATTAAAGAAGTTAAAATTAAGTAAAAAACAAAAAAAATTTTTATGAAAAAATGTTTAACATAAAATTTACCTAACTGCTTAACTTATTTGGTTAAGAGAAAGGGAAATAAGAATTAATTATTACTTGATTTTAAGGAAAGTGAACATTATTGAGGTAATAATTTAAAAATAAAGAGAATATTCCAAAGATTGTGATTGGAGAGGAAAAGCCAGAAAAATAAACCATCTTTTTGTAATTCGACAAAAATTTTTTGTTTCTTATCTCATAAAAACAAAACTTTTTTTGGGGGAAAGTGAATAAATTAAACAAATAAAAATATAAAAATTTGGCAAAAGAAATAAATTATAGAAAAAAAATTTTTTTTATTTACTCTTTCCTGCCCTCCCTCTCCTCTCTCCCCCTCCACCTAAACATACACTTACCTATATGAGGGAAATCGATTTTAACGATAATCAATTTTAACTGGCGATGTTAACTTTCTTTTTTTAAAATTTTGTTTAAAAAACGTCAAAAAGTTTATAAAATTATAATTAAAAATATTGAAACATTTTGTTGGGGAATAAATTAAAATTAAGTTTAAATATTTAAATTTTGAATGAGGAAAGGGTGTTTAGATTCTCAGGTCAACAAAACTTTTAAAATTCTAAAAAATTTGATTTAATATTAATTTAAAAAGTAACATTGGGAATATAAAAAATGAGACAGTAAATTTAATAAGCAGCTGTAAAATATTTAGGTAAACATTCCTTTTAGGTATACTTTATCAGACTTTTATTCTAGAATTCGAGTCCGAAATGATTATATTTTTCTGTTTTTCCCATTTCTTATCAAAAAATACCAACCGGCGTTCAGAACGGTTATATAATATCAATTTCTATGTATCTACATAAAGAAAATTTTAAAATAATTGGGGGAAAGGAATAGGTAAATATTTTCTTTTATTGTTTTAAGGGTTTGTTGCTAACTATAAATTTGTACTAATTTAAAAATTATTAATGTTGCCATGGTTCTTGAAAGTTATAGAATTGCCTTTTTTGTAGTGAAAAGTTAAAATGAATGTTTCGAAAGAAGTGAATGAGAAGAAGAAAATAGATAAATGTAAAACGAAAATTAATTTTTGAGTTTATTGGAAAATAAAAGTTTGAAATTATTTAAATTATTTTAAAAAATTTTATTCTTAAATGTGGGTAAAACCCGTAACAAAAGTTTTACAAAACAAAATAAAAAGAAAAATCATAATTTATGTCAAAATGTAAATAATTAGTAATTTTAATTGAGCTTTAGTCTTTCCTCTCTAAATTTAATATTTAATTAAAATAAATTCATTTATTGCTTTGAAATTGTTTGTTGAAACTAAAAAAATATAAAAATATTTTTAGTTTTAATTTATTTTATATTTACAGAAGTTTAACGTAACAAAGTTGGGATTTTTGGGGGTTGGGAAGTTACTAAGATTGAATAGTGAATCTTCAATTAATCACAATCCAATTTAGACCGATTCAATTTATCGGGATTTTGGGCTGTTTTTTCCGGTAACTTGATTTAATCCCGTTGGACCCTAGTCTAGTTTATATTCACACAATAAGCAACTACTATTTATTTTAATAATTTGAACTCAATAAATGTACAAATATTAAACAAAGAATTAAAATAAACAATTATTTCGAGTAAATTATTTAATAAAAACAAAAAAATTTTAAATATTATTTAAAACAAAAGACTCCAAAGAATTGTTAAATTTTTATTTCCGATAATTATAAATTTAAATTACCAAATATTCACCTTTAATTCCTCTTCCACAGTTTTTGGTCCAATTCCAAAAGGGAATAACAATTTTTCATTTCCAGCTTCTTTATTTAAAGATTGTGATAATTGAAATAAACTAGAAGATTCTAAACTGGAAGCAGGCATTCCAGAAGAGGCTAAAAGGGCTTGAGTAATTGTTTGAGGTGTAAAAAATTGGCTTAAATCGAAAGGTTTTTGTTGTTTAATTGGATTTGGTTTGGAAATATTTGTAGAGTAATTAAATGAATCTTTTGGGCCTGTTAAAATTAAAATTGATTTTATTAAATAAGAATAAGTGTTTACATGTCAATTCTTTAGATTTTTGATCCTTTTGTAATTTATGGTCCTCAATGTCGGCATCTGAACTTCCACCATTAATTAAATTTAAATCATTTTTAATTGTTTGATTAATTTCATTATTGTTTTGTTGCTTTACTTCCGTGCAATTCTCTTTCAAAATTTGTTTATTTTCCTTCCTTTCAACAGATTTTACATTTGTATTTTCTTCTTCCTCTTCTTCATTTTCAGGCCCACTTTCATTTAAATTTTCTAAAATATTTTTAAAATTAATTTAATTAATTAGGTAATTTTGCCTTGTTGAAGGACAACATAATTACATCTACCATTATTTGGAGAGTTATCCTCTCGTTGAATATGTTGCTGCATTATTGCCTGAACTTCTCTTGTTTTCTTTCTAATAAAATAAAAAATATTGAAAAATAACTTGAAAATTATAAAAAATTTGGTACTTTTCCGTTATACAACCGCAAACTGAGTGCCAACCTAATTTGATCGGTTATACTTTTTGATGCTTGATCCTATACAAATGAATTTTATATCATTCGAAAGCCCTCGATAAGATGTATTGAAGGCACTTTTCGATAAGAGATGAGATTGCCCATTAAAAAGTTAGAACTCGGTAAATGTGAAAAACATCAAATAACTAGACTTATCGGGTTATAACTTTTTAATGACTGATCAGATTTGATTTATCCTATTAAAAAAATATACAAGTTATTGAGGGCTTTCGAATAATATAGAATTCATTTGTATTGATTCAAGAATTAAAGTTAAAGCCGAGCAAAATCAGCTGGCACTCAGTTAGCGGTTGTATAACTGAAAAGTACCAAAAATTTTAAATTTACCTCAATTTGGCACGTCTATTTTTAAACCAAACTTCTACTCTTTCTTCGCGCAACTCACATTGGTCTGCCAAACGTTCACGGACACCAACATCTTTTAAATAAATTTTTATATTTAAATATTTTTTTGTTAATTTACCCGGATATTGTGTCATAGAAAAAGCCCCTTCAAGCATCAAAAGTTGATCTTCTGTAAATATTGTTCGATGTCTTCGTTTACGTCTTGTATTACAATTATTATTATTTCCTCCTCCACTTCCTTCTTCGCCTCCTCCAAAAGAACTTCCACCACTATTATCAAGATGTCGGTGAATTGAAGAATTATTTTGTGAATTTGACAAAGGGGAAGAAAGACCTCCTCCTTTTGAACTAACAGATGGAACAGAAATTAATGGAGGGGAATTATCATTTATTGAAGTATTTAAATTATTTTTCTGATGATTTTTTTCTTTATTTTCATTTATTTTTTGTTCTACCAAATTAAATCCATTAGAACTCGAAACATTTGGAGGTGCAAATATAAGAGGTGGTGGTGGAGGTGGATGAAAACCTAACAAATAAATAAATTACTTAAATTAGAAACTCAGTTATGAAAACTTTTGTACATTATTAACTTTTGTAAATTATTTTTTACTCAAAAATTAATACCAAACAATTTTCCTCTTTAATTTTCTTTAAATTTACTATAGTAAATATTTAATTCGGAAATTCACTGATCCAAGCAAAATCGCTTGATTGGCTGATTGACTTTAAATGCGCAAAAAAAACTTTTAGTTACTAAATATTAAATCTACTACTTAATACTGCTTAATTTAATCGCGCGGAAAGGTCGACTAATTGCACTAAATCCTTTTAACTACTCCTATACTAAACTCATTCACTAATTTTAATTTATTTTACGCTAAACTTTTTATTTGCCTCTATGGAGCAAAGGAATTTGTTTAATATTTATTTTTATTTATCTTATTTTAAAAAATCTTAAATATAAACTCATAAATAAAATTAAAGAAAAACCAAATGCCCTTCCGCTTCGCCCAAATGCCCTCCAAATATTTATAAACAAATTTTTAGGCTTAATGAAGCGAATAAAGAGATCAGTGGATAAATTTATATATTGAATATAATTTGAAAGTTAATTAAAGAATTTTAAAGAGGATTAGTCATTCATAAAAAAATTGGGATATATGTATTAGTGTTTTGCCGGAACCGAAATTTTGACCGGAACCAGAACCAAACTTTCCAAAACCGGAACTTCCGGTGAAACTAATATGTATCTATTTTTAGCAAAACTATTTAAGGTACAATTAGAGATAGAACGAACAAAATAATAAACTTAATTCGAACCTTCAAAAATCAACTTTGAAATTATATAATACACAAAGAATAAAAATCTAACATGTAGCTAATAAGTAAAATTCACGGATTCCAAATATAACATATTTTAATAAAATCACTTTCCCTCTTTAATTTACCATTTATTAATATTTAGTAAATATTCGACCGATTAACTTCTCCTCTATAGTATAAATCTTTATTTTCTTGCAAAATACCGCTAATTCGCTAGTTTGGGTTTATCGCGGTGACCAATCGCGCGGTTCAACTTTTCGTTTCCTTTTTAATTTTAATCGCTCGTTACGCTTGAATTCACCGTTGATTGGCTGGGAGCTGAACGGAAGATGTGAATAAAAGGAAAAATGGACGCAGAAAAGAGTGAAAATATTAGACATTTATAGTTAAGTAAGAAAATCCGATCAAAAATAGTAGAGGAGATAAACTAAAAAGTGTTGAAGTATAGCGATATTCTTAAGAAGAAAATATAAAGTGTCCATTTGTATAGGAAGAAAATTTTAGATAATTACCAAATGAAAGGAGTATTCCCTCTAGGTTGTTTAAATTATCAATTAAATAATCAAAATATTTACAAACCAAAGAAATTGGCAGAATCTCCTCCCATTGTTGTAACAGGAAATATTGGACAAATTGGGTTATTAAATATATCAGTAATTTTGTCGTTATTTGGTTGTTTTTGTTGCATTTTGAGCTTTTTCTTTGGCGGTGTTTCTTCATTTTTAGATTTATTTTCGATTTTTGGAGAACTTTCTGATACCTTAAATTTTTAAAGAAAGCTTAATTTTTTGGTATTATCTGTTTGAAACAAAAATATTATGAAAGAGTATTCTCTCGATTAATTCCCTTCTCTCGGATAATTCCCCCTCTCGAGTAATTCCCCATGAGTTGGGTTGAAACAATAATTCCCCACCCCCAAATGCCCTACTGCACGTTCAAATTCCAAACTGAATAATTCTCCCCCGATTAATTCCCCATGCCAAGGAAGGGTTGAAAAAATAATTCCCCAGGGGAATTAATCGAGAAAATACGGTAAATAGTAATTTTCTAAATAGGTAATTATCATTTAAAAACAAAAATATATTTATTAAATAAAAATATAAATTAATTTTAACTGTTTTTAAAAATAATTAAAATAAATAAATCCTTACATTACTGTTGTTGCTGTTTGCTGTAGTATGTCTTCTTCCAGTAACAGAATTATCAAAAGATGGACTATTTAAAGGAGATAATGGTAAAGAATTTCCTCCTCCATTGTTTTGGTGATTGAATGGCTGGAAATAATTTAAAAAATTACTTTTAATTTTCCATTTATGACTAACAAAATTTTGTGGCTGTCCTGGAGATGGCCAAAATGGAATTAAAGCCATTGGAGCTGGTGGAGGTGGTGGCCAAGGAGCAAAAGGGAAACAAGGAGGTAATTGAATAGGGGAAGGATTTGGAATTGCTGGCCAACAAATTGGGAAATGGGGTTGGGGAGTTGCAACCATACTCGATAGAAGATTGTCAATTGAAAAATTGTTTTGATTATTTTTGCTGGTCATTCTTGGAAGTGAATTTATGTATAATTAAGAGAATAAAAGAAGTTCTGAAAAATTAAAAGTTAATAAAGGTTTCGAAAATATTAAATTGAAGCTTTATCCTAAAGCCACAGTAAATCAAAATTTATCAGCAGAAGGTTAAAACAATATTTAAAAAATTGCTATAACTATTAACGGCTCTATCGCAAATGAGGTGCGTAATCATATTTTTTCTCCTTCCTTCCTCAAGTTAAAAATGGGGAACTTTTTCCTTAGTATTTTTCCTTAGTAAGGAGAAATAATGTAAGAGGATTAATTTTTTCATTTTCTTTTCTACCCGGTTTTGACTGACCGTGTCTCAAAACTGTCCGTGTTTTGACTGTTTTTCAGTCAAAATTGTCCCTGTTTTGACTGTGAAAACACGGTCAGTCAAAACATGAACAAAAAACAAAATGTAAAAAATTAATCCTCTTTCATCATTTTTCTATACGGCAAAATCAGCATACATTAAAAACTAAGGAAAAAGTTCCCCATTTTTAACTTGAGAAAGGAAGGAGAAAAAATATGATTACGCACCTCATTTGCAATTGGCCACTATTAACTATACTATTAACATTAATAAAATTAATTATCCATGAAAGAAGATTAACTCGAAAAATGTAAATTTGCAAGAAAAATCAGAAAAATATTAATACGATTTTTATTTAGTGTACATTTAAACTAAATAGTATTATCAATCGGATAATGAGATTAGAGATAAAAATTTAATTTAATAAATTATACAATGATTGTAGGATTTTTGGTTAAAAATGTTTTAAAATTATTTTTGTAAATTTTTGTTTAGTAAAAAAAAATTTAAAAAAAGAAGAAAAAATGAAAAATAAAAAGAAAAGAAATATACTGTAGTAAAGAAGTAAAAATTAAATAAATTTTTTTTGGCCCACTAAAATTCGCCGACAATATTGAAGAAATAAAAGAAGTAAAATATAATTTGGATTTAGACGCGCATTGCTTTTTTTGAATAAAAGGAAGGAAGAGGATTAATAAATATATTTTTGGGCGGTTGCTTCCTATTTATTTTAAGGCCAATCTTCTTTATTTATTTATTGTAGTAAAGAAAATTGTAGAAATTGTTAAAAGAAATATAATTATGGGAAGTGTTAAGAGTGTTGAAATTAACAAGATTTTTAAAATTATAAATAATGAACTTTTAATAATATGACTCAGAATGACTAAATATACCTATAAATTTAGATTCATTTAAATTTTTTGGAGAAATGCCCAATTTTTTTAATTTTGCATTTTTTAAGTTAAAATTTAAAATCATATTTAAAAGTATTGAGATGTAAGAAGAGTTTTATATTTCGAATTTAGAGGTGTTTAAGGAGAAATAATATCACAAAATTAGATGCACCTATATGTATTTCAAATATGTAGTACATTTTTTAAGTTCTTTTTAATTCGAAAAAATGCCTAAAATTTCGTTCATTTTTAAATTCGAGGTCCAATATTAAATATATCTAATAAATAAAATAAATAAAAATAAATAAATATATTAATTATTATTAGGGTCAAAGAGACAAGCAATATAGGCAATTATATTTTAATTGAATAGTTAAATAAAGTGTTTTTTCCCTTTTATGTTGTCCTTATAATAATCATCAATTTCCCCAAATGAACAGATGATAGATATTATTTTCACCAATATTTTCCTTTCTAAAAATCCCGCCAAAAACCTCTGTAATTCCAAAAATTGCCAAAAACCATTCGGCAAATAATTGAAAATTGTTGCTTTTATAAAAATAAAAAGAAGAAATTTATCCAAAAAAACATTATTTAATTTTTAAGCAATTTCCTGAGAAATAGTTAAAAATATTAAAAGATGAAATTGAGGCGCCAAATGCCGAATTCTTCGAAGCGTGAGAAATAAATAAAAAATATGGCAATCCCGGAGAATTGGGGTCCCTGCGGAAAAAAATCTTAAAAATAAGAAAAAGGATTTTTCTAGGGTAAAAAAATATGCTGATTACGAATCCGAGCTCAGATTTTGAAAAAGTCGAATCCCGAACCCGAACCAAATTTCGAACCCTGAACCCGAATTTCGAATAGCAAATGATAGCTCGTTCGAAAGAGCTAGTCGAGCTGCATCGAATGACACCAAAATCAACGCAATCGGGCCTGTTTCGACAAAGTTGTGACATAAAGTAAACCTCTGGGAGTACTGTAAGCGTCGGCGACTTATGTTATAACTTTGTCTAAACTTGATCAATCACTGTAATTTTGGTCTCATTCGACTCAGCTCGACGAGCTCTTTCGAATGAGCTATCATATGCATAAACTTTTTTTACTCCAAAAAATCACCCCTGTGGTTTTTCAATATCTAGGGGTCTGTATCTCGGTTCAATCCGGTCGGATTTCATTGATTTTGGTGTCATTTGATGCATCTCGATGAGTTCTACCTGCATATGGAAGACTGACCATTTTGTACAATGTCCGACAATGTCCGGGGTCAAAAATCCTGTTCGTGGGCAAAAGTCCGAATTCGGGTTCGGGATTCGACTTTTTCAAAATCTGAGCTCGGATTCGTAATCAGCATATTTTTTTACCCTAGAAAAATCCTTTTTCTTTTTTTTAAGATTTTTTTCCGCAGGGACCCCAATTCTCCGGGATTGCCAAAAATATATCGGCTCGAAATAAAAGTGTTTTTCTGAATAAAATTTTTTTCTTAAAAATTCTGGAAGGGAGCAGGTGTGAGCAATTTAAAAGCAAACAATAAATAGTAGATTAATAATAAATATTATGGTAATCGTGAGAAAAAAATAAAGGATGAGCTTTTAAAAAATTTATTTTAATATAGTAATATATTGAAGGGATTAAAAGTTTATTTTTGAAATAAAGAAAAACTTTTTTAAAAATAAATTATAATCAGAAATTGAAAGATGAGAAAAGAAATAAAGAGTTAATCTATGAGAAAGGGTAAAAACAGGCTACCCTACAAAACATATTTTTTTAAAACATCAAACGCTCAAAACATCTAGACGGCTAAAGAGGCTCAAAATATATTCGCTCAAAACATCAAACACTTAAAATATATTTACGGTTAAAAACGCTCAAAATATCAAAAAATATTTTTTTAATTAAAAGGGACAGTTGAGTGCCCTATTTCCTCCTTTTATCAGGGGTGAATAATGTAGTACTTCAGGACCAATTTTTCATGAGTTCGACGTGCTGAGTCGACTGACACCAAAATCAGCTCGAATGGATGATTTTTGACAAAGTTATGACCAGCAGAATCTTCGCTGGAAAAACTGTTTTTGTGCTGCTACGGAGGGTAGGCCGGGCATGGTCTTCGCTACACGATGGCCGTGCTTCGCTGCGGTCGTGCTCGCTTCGCTCGCGGCGACCGTAGCGAAGCGGCGGCCGTCGTTCCGCTCGACATGCCCGGCTTCCTCCGCAGCGGCAAAAACTTTTTTCCGCGGACTCAACTGTCCCTTTTAATTAAAAAAATATATTTTGATATTTTGAGCCTTTTTAGTGTCTAGATATTTTGAGCGTTTGATGTTTTGAGCGAATATATTATGAGCATTTTTACCCGTCTAGATGTTTTGAGCGTTTATACCCGTCTAGATGTTTTGAGCGTTTTTACCCGTCTAGATATTTTAAGTGTTTGATGTTTTGAGCGGGCACGTAAAAACATCGTCGAATAGGGAAAAAGAAGGGCAAAATAAAAAATGAAAGAGAGAGGCAAAATTGAGGAGGAGGGGCGGAGTTGAGTGACAGGAATTACTTCTCTTTTGATTATTTTAAATTAAATGATTGGGCAATATTTAAACTCTTTTGAACTATTTCCCTAAGCACTTTTTAAGTAGTTTATTGAAGTAATAAGTACTAGACTTTATGGATATTTTTGCCTAATATTTTAATTTTTTGCTTGAGGCAAGAAACAATAAAAGGTGAGTAATAAAATTAACGATTAATGGAAGAACAAATTTAGTTTTTAGGAGAGATGGTGATGCTCCGACTTCAAAAACATCTAACAATTCCATAGTTTATTTTGGGGCCGGGATAACACTACTACAGTAGATGAATAAATAAAATTACAATTTATTAAAGCCGAGAAAAGAATATTGTTTAGTATTTGTGAAATAATTTTTCAAAAAATTAATTATTTTTAAGATCCATTGTATGTTTTTATGAATGTATTATTGTTTTTCATATACTATTGTTAAATCTAGATTCAGAATCCATAATAAATTTCAGTTAAAATTAAGATATTTAAAAATAAATATTAAAAATTCCAGTTATAAAATGGTACTTTTAGGTTAGGTATCCCAAACCAGGTTCGGGATATAGGTATTTATGCGGACATATTATACTACTTTCTTTTTCTTTCATTAACACATTTATATAAATATCTCCCCTAAATATGCTAAATATTTTAATAAAAATAAGTCACGCAATTGAAACAAATCGCCTTGTTTTTAATGCCCTTAAATACTATTTAGCACTTAAATACTTAATTTTATATATAAATATTTAAAAATTTGTCTTTTATAATTTGTGTGCCATTTTAGCGTTATTTTTGATTATTAAATATTTTTACTTTTTTTTACATATTAGCTGGATTACCTCCCTTCTTATTTGTGCCAATCTTTTCTTTGGGCATTTCCTTTACTTTCTTAAATCCTTTTGAGGGAAAATAAAATTTTATTTTCTTTGGGAAAGTTAAAGAAATAAAGGGTAAATTAAAAGAGAGAGAAAGGGGAGAGAATTAATTAATTTATAATAAATATTTATTTTTACATAACTAATAAAATGGCAAAACTGGCATTAAATAATAATAATATTTACCTTATTGGAATGTTTTTATATCTAATTAGGAGATTGAAAAGAAAAGTTTATATTATTAATGTTAGAAAGTTTATTATTATTTAAATGTATTAAATAGAAGGGAAAATAAAAGGGAAAATTAAATTTTTTTGTTAAAAAATTAAATTAAGAGAAAATTAAATGATGAAGTTTTA